AACGCGAGCTGTTTGTGCGAGCAAGGAGGCTAGATGATTACCCGCGAAGCCCTCGCTATGAGGCCGATCGGGGTAGAGGCGACTCCCGCGGCCGATGGGAGACAGAACAGGGCCGACGAGATGGATATAGGGACGACAGATACGAGAGATCGGACCGAGTCTATATATGAACGACAGATACGAGAGGTCGGGTCGAGATGGCTACAGAGGAAGTAGATATGAGAGAGGAGATCGGGACTGGGAACGACAAGATGGGTCGCGCGGACGGTTTGAGCGTGCGGGAGATACGAGAGAGCAGCGCGACGAGTTGCGGGGATGATACAACCGAGGGGACCGACGCGATGAGTCACGAGGACGATATGACTCGGGGGACCGCCAGAATGATTCACGAGGGCGGTATGAGCAAGGAGGGTCTGGAGGAGAGCGCCGCAACGATTCGCGCGGACGGAATGAGAGAGGGGGATATGGCGTCTCATCAGAACCATATCCTAAGTCACCTGACCCTAAGGCGGCCAGGAGTTCGATCTCTAGAGGCGCAGACGATAGACCATCTACTCCCAGGAACTCATGCGTCTACTGTAGAGGAGAAGATCATATCAAAAGGGATTGCCCGGACCTCAAACGGGCAATAGATGAGGGACTTGTCGTGCTTGACGACCGCAAGTACGTCAAGTGGGCAGATGATCAGGGAGATGTATCGATGTTCCCTTCGATGAAGGAGAATGTCGAAGCAAGAAGAATAAAGACGAGTAAAGGAATGRAGCCGGTCAGGAGCCAGAGCATCAAGATAATCTTTGAGGGGGATATCGCGACCACACCCATAAGGTTGACAGCCACCAAGTCGGCAAGAGGGTCTACGTCGAAGAAGACTGACACGGATTACGTGATGACGGAAAAGGACGGGCAGCGGGTCGATGGAGAGGAGGTTATCCTTTCGCCGCGAAAGAGGGGAGTGAAGAAGTTCTTAATGAAGAGTTCGCTGGACGAGATTGACACGATTGAGCCACTGAGGCGGGCCCTTCGGCAACCAATGCAGTGCTCTATTCTGGAGTACCTGGCGGCATCGAAGCCGGCTCGTGATGAATTACAGATGATCACACGGAAGACTCGCATACCTCTATCAGAGGAGGGTCAGGGGGCCCCTAAAGCGGAAGCTTCTGCAGTAGCGGTAACGGCTCCTCCCTGTTCTTCACCTGTGATACTCATTCTGTCGACCAAAMCTCCCCCCCCGCCAGTATTCACCCTCCGCGGCGTCCTTTACGGGCCATTACCCTGAAGCTCATCCGCTTCGTCTGACGTAAATTGCTAGGGCTCGACGGGGGCGTCGAGAAGTGGTCCGGGCTAACTGTCAGGCGGCCGCAAGCAGTGCGCCGCCTGAGATCTGCAGTTTTGGGACTTAGGCTCAGGGACGAGGCCGTGTTTTGATGGTGCTCTCGTATGACCAGGCAGCAAAAATTAGGGGAACTCAGGGTGCCCCTAATTCTAGGCGCACTGAGCCTTACGAGTAATCCTCAAAGATAGCGAGATAAGTGGCCACGCTCGGCGCGTCTAGGGACTGTCATTCCCGGCCGTTTAGAGAGCTAGACTCAGATTGGCCTGCCGTGGAGAGGCATCGCGGGAACTGACTTCGCCGCAACGTTTTTGCGGCATACGACCGGGGCCGAAATGAGGCCTCAAATTTTTGTCTATTTTTGTACCTAAACTAAAGATGGGAGAAAAGATTGGGAACAGTAGGAGGGAAGAGAAAAACGTAATATCCCTTAGTTCCCTTATTTTTCTCGGCATTTAAATTTTGAGGAAAATACCTCGTTATTTTATGTTTCCGGCAATGAAATAGAAGACCAGAGAAAAA